CACTGCTGCTGCTCTCTCTCTGAGCAGCTATCTTCATCTCTTTCACATACTGACTTGAGCGTCGGAGGCTCTACGCCAGAAACCCCTCCGGCGTTGAGTTCTTGCAGGTGTTCTTGCAGCTCAACAACGGTTCGAAGGCCATCCAATCAGATCTGAGCTCATTCATACCGGTTCATCCCAGATCCGAACATTTCCTCATTGGGCCGTCCCAGATCTGAGAAGAGACCCATCAGATGGTTTGCCTAAAAGCACCGACAAGCTTGAATTTTGTGTGGTAGACGAATATTCACAACCAGAATTTGATGAGGATGAAGTTGGAAACTTAATTTATAATGAACAAGCTATTCCGATTGTTGGTAAGTTGTTTGCTTATAAAATATTATATGATTTGTTATATTTATTTGAGTACTTCATATTACTGTGTGCTCTTTTTTTTTAGCCATTTACGTAGATCTGTGAATTTTGAATTAACCCACTTTATTTATATGTCAATTTTATGTGATTGAATCATTCTTTCAAATATTAGTTAAAGACAAGGTATCAAATTATGAATCTATTTGATTTGTTATTTTGGTTTAATCTCGAAAGAATACACAGACATGGACTTCGACTCGATTTCGAAGTTAACTGAATAAGTAATCCAAATATTATTTCCAGATATCTCAATTCATCAAAATTCAAACAAAACTTAACATTGACATAAATATGCCGATGGATCCAATTTGAACTCCAGTGATGGTGGAGATGATGTAATGGGGTACTTTTGGTTATGCCGATGTTGGGTTTGGAGGAGTTAGTGGAAATTATGATGATTAATTATAGTCGGTGAATTGTGTTGTTTTGTAATGATTTTGGACTTAAACTGCTTTAAGTTATTTCATTTTTCCATCATTGTAATGTTTTTTTTTTCACGAAAAAACAACATATATTAATCTCAAGCCAACAAACATCCGGTAAATCCAGTGATTACAACGACAATCAATCTAACCAAACAATTTTAGAAAGAAAGAAGCACAGGTAAGCCACCAAGTGACCCACCCTCAAAGACCTACAAGGTCACTAACCAATAGGAGACACAGACCGAACCGAGAAAGAACACAACATAAAGTCTGTTTTCAGTACAACATGAGATGTATAAGGCACAGAAACCCGAAGAGAATTGAGCTTGGTGATTATATCTTCATCTTGTAGGATGCATTGTGCCTTCTTCCAGCCCATTCTTTTAGCTTCCCTTATAGCCCATCTAGATGCCAACAGAATGGATTCTTTCTGGTTTGTTGTTTCAAGGCCAAAAGATTGCCAAGAATGGATTTGGGCACCTTCTTGTATAGTTGTTCCACTAAAATCCACTTTTTCTTCTGGTGAACATAGAGCAGTGACTTGCAAGGTTACAAGTCCTACTCCATTGGAAAATTGCTCCCTTGGTACTTAGTGTTTTTTTGATCTCCTTCTTCTTGTTTCAACTCATCTTGAATGATGTTTTGTTGTTCTACCCAATCTCTTCTTGCACCTGCCACAATCTCAAGCTCCCTGAAAGGTTCATTATTGAAAACTCTGTTGCTTTTGGCCCTCTAAATTCTCCACATCAAGCAAACAGAAAGAGTGATTCTTCTTTGAAGTTTGTATTTGTAATTTGAATTGACTTGCTTTCACATTGCATGCAGTAGAAAAGACAGATTGACTTAACAGACTCTTAGCCTGTAAGAACACGCATGATTTACGGCGTAAACCGAGGAGCAAGTCTACGGATTAGGTGTGACAGATGTACAGGGAAAAAATTTCGATCATAACCCGGCAGTAATAGGCGAAGCCAGAGGTCCCGCGTGGGAGGGCAATCTCTAAGAACGTGCAGCGCCGTTTCCATTTCCTCTTTGGCCATCTCCTCAGGCTGCTGCAACTTCTTAATATCCCATCGAGCAAGAAAAGTGGGTGCATATGAAAGCAAAGCAAGACCCCAGTTCCCTGTTTTCCTACTCCATTCGTTTTTTCATATAGAGTCCACGTCCTGGCCTAACAGAGGATCAGCCTCCTTTCCAAGTTGGGTTGTTGAGAACCTCGACAAATACTTGGGAGTTCCGCTTCTTCATGGTAGGGTCAATAAACAGACATACGCTCACATTCTACAAACCTTTAGAAAAAAACTAGCAGACGTAGACTAACCTATCATCATTTGCTTCTTTCTTCTCGTCTTCGGGGACAACCAAGGATTCTAATGGTTCCTTAGACGTTGAATTATAAATTTTTTATTGTAATGAACTTAAATAAGTATTTTTTTATGATAATATATAAATAAGATATGATTATTGAACTCTTATTCATATGAATGGCAATATATAATTAATGATAAAAATATGTACAATTATATATTATGCATATAAAATAGATAAAAAAAATTATATAAATCGGACCACTAATTCGATCACTAAACTATTGAACCTATAAATTATATTGTTGTCTGTCAACCAAAAAAAAATCTTCTTTGAAGTCAAAAGTTGAAATACATAACTATTTTGGTCAAACCATTTTGCAAAGTACCCACTCACACACACCCCAAAGCCCAAAGAACACTGATTGATCCATACAATCACTCTGGAACCCTACAATCAGACACACACACACTAGTGAACCTCAATCTTCACAAATGGATTTGTCGTGAGTTTTAGTGAAAAAAAAAATCCTAAATTCGCAAATGGACGCAGCAGAACAAGAGCTGGAGAGGAGAAGCCAGTTCTTGCACAGCTTAATAATACAGAAGAAGAAAACGTCGGTTGAGCAAAAACAAGAAAATGGTCGCCGGAACGTACGCGTGAGGGCTTCAGATATGCCTCTCCCTCTGCAAAATCGAGCCTTTAAAACTGCTACTGACATTCTTGATTCCATGCCTTGCGCCAAGATTGACAGCAAACGCCTTGCCCTTTCGCTCAAGAAGGTACCTTTTTTTTTGTTGTTCTTTTCCTTCTCATTTTTCTAATTTTTTTTTTTTTTATTTTTAATTTGGTATACTGCTACTACTGATTGCTTATTGATTGATAAGATTGGTTGCTTGCTTTTGGGCTTAATTGCAATTTTAGTCTGGTGAGAGAAGTATGAAAACATGTCCCTAGCTCAAGTAAAAAGTTCTCCTTTTTACCTTTTTTTTTTTCCATTTTACGTCAACCGAAAAGTTTCTTTCTTTGACCACTTTTTAGTTTTTAGTCGGCAAAATTGCAATTTTATTCCTGTTGATTTGATTCAGTGACGTTTTTAGTCGTAAGAATTGAATATTTTTGCTATTCAGTCTATGATTTTAAAATTCAATGCAATTTTAGTTCATTGGACTGAAAATGCAACAAAACATAAAATTATAGGACTTAATTGCTAATAAAAAATCTTTTGGATAGATTTTGATTAGCAATTCAAGTCCTGTAATTTTGTTGTATTGCAGCAAAATACTAAATTACATGATCAAAAGACAAAAAGTTGAAATCTTGTGACTAAAAATACAATTTTGCCTTTTAGTCCAGCTGACCAACTTTGTAGAATATGCTATGAGCTATTGTAATTCAGTTGCTAAAGAAACTTAAACATGAAAATATTGGAAGAGCTTTAGAATTAGTAGTAATAGGAATCTAATGACTGAAACATTGAAAAAATCTCAAGAATTATTAATATTTGAGTCCCCAATCTACATTAAGTTGGCCCATTTTGGAATGGTAACTTTCAGTTCAGTATTAAACTGCATAGACTTAAGTTATATACATAAGGCTTATTTCCAATCCATGGCAATCAAGTTATTAGTGTTCTGGTTTTTGTCTTGAATGTGACAAATAGTTTCGTTTACATTCGAGCTAGTAGCAGCCTTACTGGACTATTAGTAAGCGAGTGCTTTTGTGTAATAACAATGATTATAGGCAATTGTGAGTCCTCTGAGAAAATTATTTGATTCAGTTGAAAATACCATGTCGAAACCTCTTCTTTTTGTTTTTTTCTCGCGACTGCTCATGTATACATCTTATTTTTGTAGCCCCATCAAATGAATGCCTTGATTCACCAGTTTATGTAGCTTTCGATTTTTCTAGAGCAGTTTCGGCATGATGGAACCTTAAATATGTGGGTAAATTATTAGTACGTTTTTATGTGCGATGCAAAAATTAAAGAAAAAAGTTTCGCTTACTAAAGATGAGAGATTTTTAACTTGGTGCAACATCCTAATTTTCTGTGTTTATTACACATTGATCTTATGGGCTTATGTAGTCACCCTATCCCGCTCAGTGTTCAGACAAGGTACTTAGCTGATAAATTTGATTCTTGTGGTTGCATGCACAAGACAATGGGCAAAACCGTTTTCTCATATAATACTATTTTTTTTTTCAGAACTTTATATTGTAAAGTATCAAACGACTATGGCAGTGTCTGCTGAAGCTTTTACTTGTGGTGTAATTCATTTAAGGAGAAAAAAAAAAATGGAAGAGGGAAGGATATTTGCTCAAATAACCAGTTTAAAAACTATTTTACTTGTGTATTGAAGCCAAAGTATGAGGTGAGTCATAAATCTTAAGCTCGTCTAGTGGCGAACTTAAGATTTGATCAGTTATGCTGAAATAAAAGAAGATAGTTGAATGCACTGTAAGCTATACCTTTCCTTTTTTCTTATTTTGTTAAATATCTGCAGATAGAAAAAACAAGATTTTTTTTTTTTCACTTGTTATCATATAAATGGTAGAATTCATGTTTTCAGCATATATATCTCTATTAATTACCAGAGAAGTTATAAAAAGTTTTCTTGGCTTTCAGGATTTCGACTCGACATATGGTCCAGCTTGGCATTGTGTGGTGGGGACCAGCTTCGGCTCATATGTGACACATTCCATAGGAGGATTCTTGTATTTCTCAATCGATAAGGTCTATGTTCTCCTCTTCAAGACTGCTGTCGAGCCTTTGAACAGATGACGCTTTTTTTTTTTTTTTTTTTAATTTTCCACCAGTTCTATGATTTTTCTCCTCAACTTTGAAGTTCAAGTTTGTTTTGTTGGATGTTTAAAAAAAAAGAACGTATCTTTTTTCTTTTATTTATTTACATTATGTTTTGTGTATTATGATGCTTCAAAGAGACGAACTTTGGCACTGTAGTTTTCTTCGACTTTTCGCAGCTTCTATTCTGTATGTTCATGTAAAAATCTGTCACGAAATGCAAATGTTATTTATCCGGGGTGTGATTTATAATTTAAAAAGGTTCCAAGTATTTACTAAAATTACAAAAAGACCCCGATGTATCTCAATCACATGTTCACAATTAGCTATATCTTGTTCTCTAAGGCTCCTCTTTATTTTCTCTGATTAAAAGCCATCATTAGGATCATCCTCTCAACTCAAGAAATTGCCAAACCTTTTTTTTTTTTTTTTTGTAAGTGTAACTATTCATGGAGGATGACAAAAGGGAGGAAACTCATTTAGAACAAGGGTCACCACCAAATGAAGCAATTTTCTTTGTGTTGGCTTATCTTCCTCTCTTTGAGCTTTTGGCCATGGCCCGAGTTTGTAAATCGCTTAGAGACGCCATAAACGACGACATACTCCCATGGCTGAAACTCGTCGTTGGCCCACCTCTCAATTGGCGTCTATCTGATGAAATTCTAACGAAAATCACTTCGAAAGCCGAAGGGAGGCTTAGAGTTCTTGCTTTGATCAATTGTGTGAAGATTACGGATGATGGGCTCTTGAGGGTTGTTGCTCAAAATTCCCATATCAGCAAGGTATTATCATTTTAATGGTAGTTTAGTTTCTATTATTTTATTATTTATTTATTTATTTATTTATTTATTTTTGAATTTAGAGTGTCACAATATGTCATTTCATTTATTGATGTTTTTTCTTCCTTGTTTTTTTTTTTTTTTTTTTTTTTTT